CAGTGCTTGTTCCTGCGGCTGCCAGGGCTGCCAGGGTGGCTCCAGAACAGGGGCGGGCAAGTATTTCAGGCGGAGGGCCGCATACTGAGTTTTAGCGAGCCATTGCGGGCTGCATGACAGGCAGCCAGGGGCAAATGAATATTAATTTTCTAAATTTTTAGGGACCCCATGGGCTGGATAGAATGGGATAGTGGGCCACATCTGGCCCACAGGCCACATTTTGCCCACCCTTGCTCCAGAACCCAAGGTGTTAATATTACTGCTGCTTGTCTCCTACCCCACCCCCCTTATCTGCAATGAAATTTGGGTCTTTTAGTTAATGTTGACAACTAAAAGCAGCAAGAGAAAAGGGAAGGGTGGGTGGCAGCTGTGTTAACCCTCTGAATTCCAGAGCTCTGCTAATACAGAGGCTCCAGCAGCAACAGGGATTACCCCTTCTGCTACCACTCTCAGGTTAACCAGACCCTGAGACGCCTTGTGTTCCACATCTGGCCCACAGGGACAAATGACTTTGACTTCCTTAGTCGAGGGAATTACTCACCTCCAAGGTTAGACAGTAACGAGTGGGGGATTTAAGGATGTAATTTTTGGATTTAGGTATTAGAGTCCCTTTGGAAACTGCCCCTTGATCCATATTCAAAAATTCCCAAATACTGTGGGAACAGCTGTCTTCCTACTTTAAAAAAGTACAGGAAATAGCAGTATTTTTTGGTATTTATCTAGCATCTGCCATCCTTCCATAGTTAGACTGAGTTTGTCATAGTAGGGACCCTTGTTCCTTACTGTTTGTGAGGTGCCAAGCATACTGTTGGTACTGTCATAGTACTACTGTGTATTTGTAATTGATGCTGAAGACCCTAAGGCCCTGTAACAGCTGGCTAGAATGTGTAAACCAGCTGTAGAAATGCTGGGTTTCCCGTCATCCTGCGCTACATCCTCAGGGGCAACAAAGGCAGCTATTTATCTTCATAAAGCAATAGTTCTTAGGTGTGTAAGAGAAGAACATGGTATCCAATTGAAATTGCACAGGGAACTGTTGTAGGTGGAATATAGGGTCTATTTTTTTTAAAAAACCTATGACCCTGATGAGATTTTCAGAATGGTTCAGCCAATTTAGTATCCTGAATAAAGACTGGACTAGCAGAACTGCTTAACACCTAGAAGCTCCCAGAAGTAGAGGGGGAGTGAGGTGTAAAATCCCATTCTGGGAACAGATTCCACCTGCCTCCTCCCCTGAGCTTAACCCTACCATAGAGGGACTATATTTGTGTAATGTTAAAATGGGACACTACACTCCCCACATTCTTTGACATGCTTACATATCTCTGAGCTCCAGGCTCAGCTGAGCATGCTGAATCATTCGGGGTTGTGGAAGGGTGAGGTATGGGGTGCCAGGGAGAAGAGAGGGTATGCATGCAGCTCTGGAAAGAAGGTGGGAGGGGGTCCCATTTTCACCAGCCCCTTTTAAACACATCCTGGGGATCCTTCTGCAAATGGGACAAAAGTGATCATTTAATCAAACTAATGGGATACCCAAAACAAGTATTTTAAATTGGGTTGTCCCAGTGAAAGTGGGACATGTGGTCACCTTACCTGAGCAGCACCCTTCCTATAACTCTCTACCCTGGACATCATCACCCTGTGTGTAGTGTCTCCAGGGATCCCCCTGGTTGTTTTGTCCTGCTTGATTTGCAGTAAGCCATTGCCTTGTTCCCTACTGAGCTGTCTTAAACCAATGCACTGGGGATGCCAGGCTTCTCCAGGTAAACACGGCACAGGGTAATTCATTATCTCAGTGGCACATTGTTTTCATACTTTGCTGATGTGCATTTCCCAGAGAACTGATTATGTCACTCATTAACCGTCTAGATTTCTTTATTTCCTTTATGCAGAGATGGCTTTTGTCAGTCCAGCATGTTCATATTTCAGCTGAGCTTCAAGAACAAAGAGTCCCCACTAATTCCTTTCTGCTTAGTCACACAGAGTCACGTATTACCAAAACTGGTGCAAGAATGTTGCCAACCACAAACCTCCAGTCCAGCTGCCTGTGGTGAAATTTGCATATCAGCTAGCCAAAGAGAATCTCAGGGCAAGCAGCACTTACCACAAAAAAATGCTTTTGTTCGATCCTCTGAAGGAATGTTTGCAGAGTCAGAGCCTTTCCCAAAACAATGGTGATAATCCTCCCATCTGGCCTGTCCTCCCCAGAGCTTTTCTCCTCCCTCAACACTTATGTCAAGGCCAAACTAAGCTGGCATATCAGCGGATTAAAATACACTTTGTTTTCTTTTAATGACCACATAGAAGTATTTACTCCTTGATAGCAGAACGTGGAGCAGTGAAAACACCCCTTGGCTTTTTCTAACCCTACGTGCTACAGGGCAAGCATCAAGCCTGCACAAAGACGGTTGTGTAGTGAGCAATTCATTGCACGCTCACCTATCTTGGCCAAGATTAAGATAGACAAGTAGTACCAGTGTACAGCAAAAATTGGGGGGTTCCAGCTACATGGGAACTCTGGAGGCTCAGGCAAGGATCCTTTTTGCTACATCCAAGGGATGTAATGTCTTTATTGCAAGGGACGTCACAGATGAAAGAAGCATGTGCAGATTATGCAAGAATGCTCCTAAGCAGGCACTGAATCATCACAAGCCTTGTATCATCCATGGGAGAAAAAGCCTGGATCACAAGGCAGGTATAAAACAACAGATATGAAACAGGGGGGCCAGGTAAGAGGTAATTTGAATAGTGTAAGATTAATTTCTCCTAGCTCAAGAACTACCCACTTGCTCTAGTTGTTAGGCCTTAATCCCAGATTAAAATACAAGCCATCATAAATCATTAACTGTATGACCACGAATCATGTTCACCAGTTAGTTAGCTCTCACTGAACATTTTGAGATGGGTTTAAAAGCTGTAACATTTTATGAATTGGAACTGTTGGTGCTCCCCATATTTTTCTGTCTACCCTTTGGAGATTCACGGACTTGGAGATTCATGTTTTATTCTGCAATCAGAAAGCCTAGAAACTTACTTTTTAAACGGATGGGTCTTTCATCAGCATATGGCTCCAGGAGTTAGATCTTTAAGGTTATGCCACCATGATATACTTACTGTCTCCAGAGGCAGTGCCCAGCACACTGCACTACTCTAGGTCAGCTGCTTTCTAAACCATAAGTAATATAGCTGTGTCCATGCATCTGTGCAGACGGTGTAATTAGTACTGTTACTCAGCAGTGCGAGTTAGCTCACCCTTGTCATAGCGCTATACTGTTTCTGCTTTAGGAGGCAGCCCACCCAGGGCAGTGCACTGTGGCTGAAGGTGCTGTCACTGAGTGTATCGCAAGGAAATGGCCTCAGGATAGCACCATGTTTCATGACGTTTGCAAAGAAATCTCAAGAGTTGAAACAACTGCATTTAGCAAACTATGTGACACTACCTCAGAGGGGGGGAGTTGGACTATAGGACCTCTTGAGGTCCCCTCCAGCCCCACTTTTTATGTTTTTATGAGTTTATGATAATAGCTAAATGGCTTATCATTATTGATGATAACAGTAAATAAGCATGGGGTTTTTCAGCTTAAGCAGTTCCAGAAGATGGCAGCCTCTTCCCAAGTGCTGCTGACATGCCTGCAAAACTTAAGCTCAATTTATTCTTAAAGACACAGTGCCCCAACTTTAGGCCCATACTATGAGCTTTGTTGAGCGTTTCAGTGGCTGCAAGGCTTGCCATCCTATCTTGCAGGCACAGATGGTGGCATAATCACTTTCAGTCCCTTGGCCTGGTAGGAACTTTCTTCCCTTTTGCATTGTTTGTCCAGTCTACTCCCTTCTATCTGCTGTCTCAAAAGTGGAAATGACTTGGTCCAAGAGGAAGTTTTTCCAAAGCTCAAATCATGAACTCCGCATGCCCCCGAGCATGTTTATTGTCTCCATTATAAAAGAAACCCACAATTCCTGCTGCTTCACTATGTGTTGTACCTGATCCAATAGGTGCTGTTAGGACACAGCCAGCCAATCAATCCCCAGAAGGCCGACAGAGAAGGGGCAATGAATTTGTGGATCCTTCTGGAGTTAAAATGTCAACTTTTTGGTTTCAGGACTTGGGTAGTTGGGCCTATCTCCAAGCAGCAGATATCTGTATACCACAGGGCACGTCTACACAAGATGCTTACTGTGGAGTTTCCTAGTTAGCTCCATGGTAAACACCTCATGTCTACATGTGCATTGCTATTAGGTTTCAGGAAATTAACTCTGCAGCAGGGAAGTATTTGTAAATAAGTACTATCCTACTGTGCAGTTATTTACCCCACAGTAATGCATATGTAGATGCTGACCCATGTGTAAATTGCAGTTGGGGTCCTGTGTGGGCCAGGGATGCGGTTTAAATGCCCCCTCCCCCACCTTAACTTGCCGGCCCTGAACCGGGGCCTGGCCACACCCCCTGGTCTCCCCTTGGAGAGCAGGAGGAAAAGACTGGCAGGGGCTGCTTCACCCCGGCTGGTGTCCCATGTGAGCCAGGGATGGGGTCTAAACCCCTCTCCTCACCCTGTGCCTCAGTGTCCCATCCCAGGCCAGGGCCTGGCCATGCCACCCCCCTCCCAGCTCTCTGCTCCAGTGGGCGGTGGGGAAGAGCCTGTGAGGGGCTGCTTCCCCCACCAGGCAAACCCCAGCTGGGGTCCAGACTTGGGTTTCCTCCTCCACCTCCTTCTCAGCCAGCTGGAGTAGTGATTGCTCTGGCAAGGGAGCAGAGGGGCGGGGCCAATCCTGCTCCACTGAAGCAGACAGCACAGCGCAGGGCTGCAAAGAATTCTGGGATGCTGAGGGACTATGAGCTAACCTGTACCAAGAAGGGATCTGGGACAGAAGTTCCATAAACTGGTTTAACCTAAATCAGTTCAGCCTGATACTACATCCATCCAGGTTTTTCTTAAACCAGTTTCGGGCATTTTAAAAGCTGTTTAAGTGCACTGAACTTCTATTGTGTTATGGATTTGAACTGGTTTCTGATCACTTTCATAGATTTCATAGACATTAGGGCTGGAAGGGACCTTGAAAATCATTGAGTCCAGTCCCCTGCCCCAGGGGCAGGAAGTCAGCTAGGGTCAAAGGATCCCAGCAAGATAAGCGTCCAAA